GGTTGAAAATGTCCAGGAAGCTGAGCAGAAACTTTTGTCTCTGTTGCCGGAAAACCATCCTTACATGTTTAAAATGGACGGCTACTATCCTTACTCTGGAGGAGGGTACGTGTACATCATTAGTTAAGATCTCCGTGGGACAAGAGGCACCATATTCAAAGATGGCCAGGAAGGGTCACCATCATGCTTCATATTACCTGTTTACACATGTACCTGGATCAGCTAGCTGTTGCTTTTTCTAAATATCAAATATATAGATTTGTGTCATACTGCTTACGTTTGTATATAAAAAGAATGATAGACGGATGTGCTTACTATGGACAGGGGAAACTGGGAAACGCCCACATCAAGATTCCATAGGAATGTTTATGAAAGTGATTTTAACATGTGATGTTAACAGGTTACTGGACAGCTCTTAAAGAGTAAGTAGTTTACAGAGTAACATTTTTACATCATATGATACAAGAGGGAAGTGAAGAAGTGAAAGCACAGTGGTTACTGCGTTGGATCGTCACGTTGACCACCGGTGTTCGAATCCCTACGATGCCTCTTTTTTATGTCAACGGTCGTGATATTACTGAAATATTGCTGAACATGAGAAAAACCCAGCTAATTCACTCAGTAGGAACAGAAATCGTCTCACATGCAGTGTTGATCTTGGGGACACCAGCTCGACATTATTCAGTCATGGATACAAAGAGCCTGTGAATATCTTCCCTTTGAGCAATCTTCCCTATAACGCCTTCGTTATAGGACAATAAAAGACAGCTGGAGAGCTTTTCAAGTCGAGTGTAATGTGTGGGCATATTGATATAAACCGGAGTGGTAGGCGATATCTATGATATCCTGGAGATACAGCTACAGTGAAACACCGGTGTGTCGAAGTTGAACGGACCTCTGGAAATACTTCGAGTTAACCGAAGTTCGACACAACCGGAAAACGACTTAATATGAAATACGCAGGGACCAAGCTATTACTTCGAGAAAATTGACACATCAAGGTTCGAGACAGCGGTGTTTGTACACCTGTGGCTTGTGTCTACGCTTTTGTGTCAGACATCCCTGACCTACTTGTTAGGGTCTACAGTCATGGACACAGGCTTCACAAAGAAGTACCAATCCGACCCACTCTGTGTTATGAAAGGAGACCGACGAGAAGGCTTACCGCTATGGCATAACTCAACGGTGTGTGAGGGTACTATTAACGTATATACCCACCAGCCTGTTGCTATAAATATAACCAGTGTATCACCCGTATCGACATGTAAGCCGCAGTCAGTAATGTATGCTCGTTAGCCTGTATCATCCATTTCGACCACTTCGCCGCAGTAATACATGTCACTGTCATTCAGTTAAGTTCGTTGAATTCAAGGCTGAATGCCCACATATATATGGGTTACATAATTATTCAATGAATTTGAGTAACGAATATACATGTTCATGTATGCTGTTAACAGGAATTTGCCAAGATAGCTTTTTCAAACAATTTTCACCAGTGTGTAATAACTGCATTATTAGTATCCATTATAATAAAACAGTATTGTGCCAAATTACAATTTTCTCTATATTTTAGGTAAATATTATTTTGCAAAGACATTTATCAAATATAATTAGACAAAATTTAATAATAGATTCGATTTTCTTTGGTGATTTTTTGTATGCGTCCATAATCTGTCCGTGGCCATGCCGCACCCTTTCGTCATAGCTGGATGATGGGGTAGCCTAGTGGTTAAAGCGTTCGGCCGTCACGCTTAAGACCCAGGTTCGATTCCCCACATGGGTACAATGCGCGAAGCCCATTTCCGGTATTCCCCGACGTGATATTGCTGGAATATTGCTGCATGCGGCGTAAAACTAAACTCACTTACTCTTGGCCATAGTGCTAGATGCTCTCTTAAGTGAATTACACCATCATTCATAACACAAGCTTCAGGGTATAACTGATGTTTACAAATGCTTTCCTTCACTTTTGAGTGCCATTCCTGAAATGAGAATTCTTTAAATTCATTTGACGGCATTTTGAAAGTATTCAGTATTCCTAACATCTTGACAGACCCATGCATACCAGAGAGCAAGTGTAGTGTTGTATGATATCCCCAGTAAAGCTATTTTGTGTATGTCTTCACTTTAGCATATCGTAATCTTTTTGTTGAAGCCGATTATTTGTCATATGTATGAGGGACAGCAAGTATTTGATACTTATCTTTCATTAAACACTAGGGATTGCTAAACAGATCGATAATGGGAAATATTATACGAAGCATTATTCATGATTATCGAAGGAAAATTTGTGTTATCGACAATATCATACATGAACGTTTGTGATAGAATAAAGATTAATTTTTAACCCACACAATACACAGTGTCAGGACTTTATTCATGAGCTTCTTAATTATGTTGAGAACGCTGTTTTGTTAGTTATCCATGCACAAATATGTCACCACTCACCAGTGATGTGTAATATATTCATTTGTTTCAAATATGTTTTGGTATTTTTACTCAAAGTTACTTCTCCGATATTTATCTATAATTGATCAATATTTAGCTAAAGTCTAAATCTAAGTAAGTGATTATATATGCGTGAACTACTTACATAAACATTATATATATACATACATATTATAGATTATATATACTCATGCCAATGATAGCTGTCACCCCCCTTCAATTTTACTAAAAGGCTGGGGGGGGGGGCGACAACCATTATTGGTATGAGTATATGTGTGTGTGCGTGTGCGTGCGTGCGTGCGGGATCTTTAGTGTGAGGATATATATCCCCTTCAACCAGGACTTGTACTCAGGCTAAACTTGTGTTTCTTGTTGTTTCATTCTTTAAGTGCAGTTAACGTGCCACGGGACCAGTGTCCTTAAACACCATCGAGTTATGTCCCTTACACCATACACAGATACACCTTTTTCTGTGATCAAAAGCATTAGCATTGGGACACGATGACATGTGTCAACCACGTCAGCGAGCCTCAACACCCGATCCCGTTTGTCGCCTTTCACGACAAGCACAGGTTGCTGAATACAAATTCTAACCCGGATCTTCCCAGGTCGAAGCATGAACTCCTAACTGTGAGATTGCATGCCAGCAAGACGTAACATCACCTCACAGATTTTATGATAAGTGTTTTTCGATCTGTCTATGTTTGTTAAGTCTCGAACATTACCTCACGCAACAGGTTGAGTCTCCGTGGGAAACGAAATCAATGGTTGTGTTGAAACTAACACACTCAGGTAGTGATTAACAACTCACGTGCATGCATTGTTAAGAGGAAACATACAGACAGATAAATAAACTGACATACAAAACAAAGTACACACCTGGTGTTTTGGGATTATTTGAAAAGTGTTGTGATGTTGCCTGGCAACTTCGCAATTGGGCACGATATCTGTGGTGTTTTGGCAACATATTAGGAAAGTCTGTGACTTAGATGTCACTGTAAAAACTCTTTTCAAAACATTTACTTCGCTTTTTGGAAAGTAATCCAAAAGCACCGGGTGTGTACTTTCTTTTGCACGTCAGTTTAGTTAGTACTCGCGTTTAATAAAGGGCAAGTTTTCAGGTGGAGCGTTTGGTACCTTGCTGAGATTGGGACGTAGACCCCGTTCGGGGGACGAGGGTCCGGGGTTCGATTCCAAACACACTGAGAAATAAAATACTACCCATTCTTTGTGTCTCCTGTCAGAGATTCCCCACATGAGTACAATGTGTGAAGCGTTTCAGGGGAAGTATGAACCTTTGGTTTTACATAATGACTAATGGGACGGTGGGGTAACAAGGTGTATAAGGTGTTCGCTCGTCACGCCGAAGAGCCGGGTTCGATTCCCCAAATGGTACAATGTGTGGAGTCCATTTCTGGTGTCCCCCTCCAGTATATTGTTGGAATATTGCTAAAAGCGGCGTAAAACCATACTCACTCACTGAATTCTACTCAGATGTTAATGGATGAAACACAATTCACAAACACTATCACGAAGTAATATATGGTTTACACGATCTCCTTGCAGTACCCCCAGTTTGCAGCTTCATCTCCATCCATTGTGCACGCTAACTCTTCACCAAATGGTGCTCTAAAGGTAACTAGGATTGGATCGACGTTTCAGTGTAGTGAGCGAGTTTAGTTTTATCAATATTCCAGGGAGTGGGAGGGGGGACACCAGAAATGTGCTTCATACATTGTACCCATGTGTGGAATCACACCCGGGTCTTCGGCGTGACAAGCGAACGCTTCAACCAATAGGCTATTCCACCACCCCTTTGATGTGCATGTGAATATATTGGGGGTCCAATTCGAAATTCAGAGTGAAAGGTGCAAGTGTTTTGCTGTTCATTTCAGTGATAAATTCCATGTACAAGATTACATAGCCTGTCTGACCCTACTTGTTTGTAGTTGGCCTGTTCATGTGTCATCGTGTGGCTCTTTCCCATTTGCATTTTTTTTAAGATTAACCTTTGGCCTTCGACGAGGAAGTTACACCATGTCAAAGCAGGCGACATGTTTATCACTACATGAAATCGATATATCGCCCCATGTGAGTGTATGGCTATCAGCTTGTGTTTCAATATCATGCACATGCTCATTCTCGGGAAACTGTACGTTGAGGAAGTACCTCTACACCATGTCGCATTTCTTTCGCCAGTATTATAAATATGGTTGGCTGTTTTCACGGGATATATTGCCATTGCACAGCAAAGAGAAATCACATTATAAGTGAGAAATTAAAGCAATGTTAAAGCATTTTTTTTAAATGGGTTGAAAGCAAATGTATCATTAACTTACACGCTTTGCAACCTTACCTATATCACGATCTTACAAATATAATAATAAGAACATAAAATCATGTGATTTCACAGACTATTTTTTAATTACAAATCTGGAACTTATATTAACGTGCCAGGAGTACATTATATTAACGTGCCAACAGTACATTATATTAACGTGCCAACAGTACAGTATATTAACGTGCAAATAGTACATTATATTAACGTGCCAACAGTACATTATATCAACGTGCCAACAGTACATTATATTAACGTGCCAACAGTACGTTATATTAACGTGCCAACAGTACATTATATTAACGTGCCAACAGTACATTATATTAACGTGCCAACAGTACAATAAATATATTAACAGTGCCAACAGTACACTTTAACACATGTCCATCAAGATGAATGAGTATGTATTAAACAAGAGGAAAATAACATATGTGTATAGCCAAGTTTCGAATAATCACAGAAGGATTCCAAAGCCCCAATGAAATGTTTCACATCAAACCTGTGGTTACATTTTCTTCTTTCTTTTCTTGCTAACATCCTTTATCGTTTTCATGTCCCTTTTCTGGCCTTTTTCTTTGTCTTTTCGTCTCTGATCGTGGCCATAAATAAATGGCCGGCATACATATTCAAAATATGATAACAAAAGGTTACTTTCATCAGAAAACTTATCTGCATTGGATTCAGGTGAAATCAGCTTCTTCTGCTCCATTGGTTCAGTTCCTAATCCGTTTCGGCATGGAAAACATTATTCCAGCACAAGTATGTCATAAAGGGTCCTTTGATTCAAAGAAATGGCACACAACTACAAGAAGCTCCAGGTCACATCTCTGCATCTATTTCTAGTTCATATCGATGGCATACACAAAACCATCACCAGGCGTGCTGTAGTTGCTCACTTTTGAACGTTGTGTGGATGATTTGCGGGAAGCATGCTGAGGAGTTTATTCTCTTTCTTTTGAGGTTTCGATGACGGAGCATAGTAAACCGTCCTGTCATTGTATCCTTCAGCCTTGTAATCAGACATTCTTGAAGACATGTCATTTGTGGCTCCAACTCGATATCTACAGGGATCATGCTTGACTTTTCTGAACAGATAATCCTGAGACACTTCTATCAGATCAAATCCACACATATCGAGAATTAGTATTCCGCAACACTTCAACCCGGGAGACGGCTAGTGACAATGAAAAGAAGGTAGTGTCGCGTGAAGTCGTGGTCCAAGAAACAGAGTCGTACTTTCGATTCAGCTTAAATACACAGCTAAATATTCAGCTTAAATACACTTCAACTCGGGAGACAATGAGTAACAATGAAGAGGAACTAGTGTCGTTTGAAGTCGAGTTCCAAGAAACGAAGTTGTACTTTCGATTCAGCTTAAATGCTGATAACGAATTATTTTCTGCACCTCCGATATGTCCTACATAGATAAAGTTACAGTGCAGGGATATCAATGTTCAGTTACATGTGTTGACAATGTACAAGCTGAGGTGCCAGAAATACCTTACTTGTGTGTTTGTGTCTATGTCTATGTGACAATTTTCTGTGTATTTTAGTCTAATACTATTTTGCAAAGACATTTATCAAATATAATTAGACAGATAACAGATTCGATTTTCTTTGGTGATTTTTTATGTATTTTTTTCTGTTCGTGGTCCTGCCCCGCCTTTTCGTCATAGATGGACGGTGGGGTAGCCGGGGTTACGGTTGCTGAAGTAATCCACTGTTATTACAAGCACGCCGGTTGTATCAAATTTGAATGTACAATTTACATTTAGGGGTTAGTAATGGTACTTGTATTACTAAGGAAAATGAAAGAACAATAGATGTGACATTTTATTCATGTAAAGCAAAGGACATATATCATCTACTTGAACACCAAAGGACATCGTTAAGAAATGTGCACATCTAAGGCAGTAACATTTACAATACACATCTACAGGCCCACATAATGGGATGCAGTATATTGGTTCTGTTCCCGAGTGATCTGTCCATTCATGAGGCGACGTTCAGCCAAATCCAGGGCGTTGTCAAACCAGTTCAACCCTGTCATCGCCTTCTATCGCACGAAGTTCTGTAAATCTATGTGACAGGTGTGGCGTCTTGTCTGATAGTAGAAGGAAAACTTTCTACGGCGATGTTGGTTTCATCTGCAGGATGGTCGTGAGACTGACCTAGCTTAGTCACAAGATCATCGTTCGTGTTGACAGATGCGGTGTAGTCTGGTGTTGAGCATGTCCAATGGATGCTATTTAATTGCAACCTGTGATGCGGAATTTGTAGCCACCAATGACTAAAGTTCGACCACCTCTTCTGTTTGCAATAAACCGTACACTTACTTGATCATTAGCCCTTGTGATATGATAGAGTAACAGTAAGGTGACTCATATATATATATACCCCAGAGTGAGTTGTGTTTACTCATATATTCAAATACACCATCATGAAAAATTGAACTTCGCTCACTCAAGACTAAGAATACACTTTGAGCTCTCGCTGAATTTCGCTCAAGTAGGGTTAGGCAATGCCCCCATAATCCCCATTATCTTCCACTTAGCATGATTCACTGCTTTACGTACCTAAAACAAAGGTGCCGGCATTCCGGGAAGACGCCGGGGTTAAAGCGTTCGATGGTCACGCTTAAGAGCCAGGTTCGATTTCTCACATGGGTACAATGCGTGAAGCTCATTTCTGGTGTACCCGCAGTGATATTGCTGCGTAAAACTAAACCTACGTAGTTTTATTCATTACAGTATCATTCATAGCACAAGCTTCAGGGTAAAACTGATGTTTGCAACTGCCTTCGTTTGATTTGCATGTCATTCTTGAAATGAGAATTTTTTAAAATCCATTTGACGACATTTAGAAAGTATCCAGTATTCCCCACATCTTGATAGATCCATGCATAACCAAGAGCAAACGTGGAAAGTGTAATGTATGACATCCCCTAAGCAGATCTCTCGTGTGTATCCATTCTGTAAAACACATCGTAAGCTTTCTGTTGAAGCCGATTATTTGTCATATATATGAGGGACAGCCAGTATTTGGTACACATCTTTCATAATATGATTACACATTAGGGCTGGCTGAAACGATCGATAATCGGAAATATAATCGATAGGAAAAAATTATTGGGGAAATTTGTGTTACCGATTATATCGTACATACATTTTGTGATAGTAGAAGGATTTAATCTACTCAATATCAAGCGCAAGCTCATTCTTGGAAACTGTGCTTTGGTTATGCATTAGGTTACTGATTTGTACAGAAAGAGAAGTACGATAAGGAGAGGAGTGCAGACGAAATGTTTTCCGGATGAACCTGTAAAAGATATCTTTACGATAATTAGTCGAACAAGTTCATAAAAATAAACCTGGACTTAGACACATTATATGATTAAAAAATAAATTAAGTAATTTTAATTTCTTTGTTATTGGTATATTTAATACATAATTATTGTTATCCTCATTCAGAATTATACAGATGATTAAGAAATATATATTGTGAGTATGGTTTTACGCCGCTTTTAGTAATATTCCAGCAATATCACGGCGGTGGACACCATATATAGGTGGGGAATCGAACCCGGGCGTGACGAGCGATGAGCATCATTAGTATCTGCCTGAGCAATGGGATACAGGTAATGGGAACGAATTATTTTCTGCACCTCTGACATGCCTACATAGATAAAGTGGCAGTGGAGGGATGTGTGTGTGTGTGTGTGTGTTTCTCATTGTCTTTCATAATAGGTATAATTAAGACACAACATGAATAAACAACGTGTAATACGACTGATGTTTTCCCACCTGACGAACATAACCAAGACTGGGCTGATAAATGGCAAATGAAATTTAGTCCTACCAAAACTGAAGCCATGCTATGTTCGACTAAAATTAATTCTAGTCCTAAATTACCTCTTGGAATGAATGACGTTCTTATACCTGAAGTAAGTGATCATAAACACCTAGGGCTGGTTCTTCAGGAAGATGGAAAGTGGCACAAACATATTAATTATCTTGTCCGTAAAGTGAGCCCACTAATTAATTGCTTTGCGTAGTCTAAAATACAGGTTCAATCGAAGAACCCTTGAAATTATGTACAAATCTTTTTATCTTACCCATATTTGACTACTACTGCGATAACATTTGGGATAATTGTAACAAAGAACAAGTAAAAATGCTAGAAAACCTACACTTGGATGCTCTTCGAACAATATGTGGAGCAGTACGAGGAACTAGTCACGAAAAGCTTTACAGGGAAACGGGTTGTTGCTCATTATCTGACAGACGACATTATCATAAATTATGTATATATTACAAAATGGTCAATGGGCTGACTCCTAAATACCTATCATTATGGGTCCCACCTAGTATCTCCAGCATAACAGGATACAACCTTCGTAACTCCAACGATTTTCAGACAAATGCAGGGCGCTTATCCCAGTATAACCGATCTTTCCTGCCTTCTGTTGTTAAAGCATGGAATGCACTTGATATCAATATCAGAAATGTAGATTCCTATCTAGGTTTAAACAATTGATTTCCACAGACATTCAGATTTCTTCAAATTTTATATACATTGCTAGTTATGGCCAGCGACAATACCAAGTGATCCTATCCAGAATTAGGCTAGGTTGTAGTGATTTAAAAGCACACTTATTTGACAGATTCCCTGATTGATGATCCCACTTGTTCATGTGGCCACAACAGAGAAGATGCTATCCATTTGTTTCTGTCATGTCCCCGCTATGGCCAGTTTAGACTCGACAAATACTTTGTCCTTGGTAAAATGCACTTGGTATCTTGTTCTTTTTTTTTTTTTTTTATTTTTATTTTTTGATTTATTCATCAATGTCCTACTGTCTGCTCCATAGAATTATGTCAAGATAATAACGAACTATATGCGGAGAAGCATTGACATAGGCCATATGGCCTGTTTGCTAATCCTATTTCCATTTTGTTATGTCGTGTATTATGAAAAATGTAAACATTAATGGAAATAAAATACTGTTTAAATCAAGAAAACGTTTTTCAACGTCTCTTTCAGCGCGAATAGTGTGAATCAATGATTTAAATAAAGTGTCAAGTGATGCGTACACGGTGTTTGTCATACTGAAGCTATTTAAACATCAGATATAAAATCATCAATGAATTTAGTGTCAGTTTAGTTGATAATAGTACTCATTATGGGTAATACATCATGACAATGTTCTTGTTTTTTGCAATCAGTTAATTTGTAAAATGTCGAGTATAGAGCAGACAATCTGCCTGAGGCCACAGGATACATTACATGCAGCCACCGAGCTTCACCACCCATATACATCTCTCTCTCTCTCTCTCTCTCTCTCTCTCTCTCTCTCTCTCTCTCTCTCTCTCTCTCTCTCTCTCTCTCTCTCTCTCTCTCTCTCTCTCTCTCTCTCTCTCTGTCTCTGTCTCTCTCTGTCTCT